GATTACATCACTTTCCCCCTCATTTCACTCCCTCCCCACTTGCCTCCCTCCTTTTATTTGCACCCCGTGTTGAGCAGCGCTGTGGAGTGGGGGCTGCCCTGATGATGGATGCTGATCGCTTCATTCCCCACTGCCCCCCAGCGCCTCCCCCGGGGCTTTGAAGTGTGCTCAGGTCTCAGGCTCCAGTTCAGAGGTCACTTTGTTTATTTATGCAAAGCTGGCTCATCTGTGAAATGGGGCTTTCAAGGCCTCTGACATCAAAGGCTCCAAAGCTGGTCCCATCGAGTCAGAGCAGGGACGGGCCTTGCATGATAACAAATTGAAGCAACTTTGTGAATCATGGGGAAATATGATGGCTAGATTTTTGCTTCAAAAATTGGGCTGTTGTTTTGACTTGTGGTTGGATGCTCAGCACATGGTATTGGCCTGAAAACCAGTCATACCCTTTTGGCTAAAACATGTAGCCTTCATGGAGAGCCTGTGGGTAAATAAAATTTGATCCTGACTCAGTAACAATCTAAATATTTCTCATCAGTTGCTCTCAGAGCTGGATTGTTATGCAGAATTTTCCATGTGCTTTAACTTTTAAGAGGGAATGGAGCAATTCTGCCATGGTAATAAACAGTAACCATATCCCACTGATGTGGCAGTCTTTGACCCATAGGCTCCTCAGTGGGCTTTGTCAATTGATGGAGTTACATACAGAAATCCCTTTTCTGCAGAAATCCAGCCTGCTTTGGGACACCCAGCACCCTGTGGCATCTCAGACCTAAAAGCCAGCTTGGAATGAGCTCCTGAGGCAAGGGAGAGGCAATGGCTGGAGAACAGCTGAGGATGATGCCACTGGGGTGACATTCCTGAAGAGTGGGCTGGTGCCTCTGTCCGTGCTGGCCCTGCTTTGCATGGCCATGTGCAATATTTGGAGGGGAAGGACCTACACGAGTTTGTCCCATGTCTCCAAGTCTGTCACCTGACACGATATTGGAGCCTTGCCCTTCAGGTTTCTCCACCAGCCAGCATGCTCTGTAACACCACAGAGCCAAATTGTACATTAAGGACACCTAAATCATGTGTGTGTTTTCTTAGCATCAGATACTCGTGACATAAAATTAGTCAGTGATTGCTTTTCAGGGCAAGTTTTCCACTTCATATTCCAACTGGCTGCTATCCTTAGCGTGTGATACTGTCCAAGAAGGCCAGTGCAGGATGACCTTCCAATATAGGTCACAGAAAAGGGAGCTTGTAGGATACTTCAGCAGCTCATCCTTCTTAGCACTGCCTCTCATGGTAATCTGCTGGCAGCAAACTTGGCGGTGCTGCAGAGCTGGTCCCTGCTGCCCTTTGACTGCAGGCTGATTTTTCTGTGTGTGCTTATCACCCCGGGCTGCCCACCTCTGTGGGGAGCTGACAGGAGCATGAATAAGCAATCAGATTATTAGGTCATTTCTTGAATATAGCTAAGACTCATGATCTCTGCTACTAACTCACCATTTTGTGTGCTGCTCCTGTAGAGCTGGATGTGGCTTCTTTCTCCAGGTCCTCTCTCTGTCTAAGAAGAATACTGACAGGCCAGTTGTGTTTGTGACAGCTGGAGTGAAATGCAAACAGCACTGTCCTCAGATCTGACATTATTAACAGGCTTCAGACTGCAGGTTTGGGCTGAACCAGATGCCTCTGAACTTTCAGGAAATTTAGCTTTGCTTTCAGCATCACAGAGACCTGTAAAACACCACAGAAGTGTTTCTCTACCCTTGGAAGCCACTTAATATTAAAATTGAAAAAATAAGAAAGTTCTTCAAAGCAGGGAGAAACAAACTCCATGCAGCCACAGAACTGACTTTGGTTGAGGCAGGTGGAAGTCAAATATTGATGATCTCTGAATTAGACAGGGGCCTTCCATCCTCAGGGTGTTCCTGAGCTATCTCTCTCCCCAAGTAAGAAAGCAGCTCTTTTTTGTGCTTTGCAGAGCTTAATACACTCACCCAAGGTGCAGGAGGGGAGATTCAAAACCCCCTCTGAATGCAGCAGAGAAGATACCTGACCCTGTGTCACTCACATCCCAGATTAGCACTTTATCACTATATCTCTGCTACTCCACTGCCTCACTCATGCTTTTTAAGTTCAACTGGAGACTCAGGAGCTTCAGGGAATCTTCCCCAAATGAGCTCCATCCAGTTTCTGGCTGTCATGAATCAGCTCTCTCTGGTACAGCTGTCGAGTGTGAGTTTGCTCAGGTACAATGAAGGCAGGAGCCCAGTTCTCTGCACATTGCAGCTGGAAGGGTCTGCTGCAGCATCCTTCACCCCATGAGCAGCTCTGGGGATGGGAAGGAGCAGTTTTGCTCTACAAGAGTTTCCATGTTTATGGCATTTCCCCACCTCAAGACTTCCGCTATTGTTGTTAATGTTACCACATTCCCAACACGTGTGAAGCAAGTTCCAGTGTAGCTAAACCAATGTGCCTAAATGCATGCAGTTATTTATTTCCGTCTTGCTCCTCCACCAAACCATCTATTCCATCAGCTCAGCATGGTGGCATAAGTTATCCTGACCTCTTTCCCCAAAAATGGCTTTCTCTGGGTTTGGTAGGTGACTCCAGAGGTTTGCGATTTGTCGGGGTAACAACTGAGGATGCATCTTCAAAGGATCAAACGGATTCAGAGCAATTTTCCTCACATCAAAAGCTTGGCAGCAAGTCAAGAGGTGTGGAGGCCACAGGCAGTGCTGTGTGTTGGCAGGAGGAGGGCACAGGGGCTGACTTTGTGTAACATGAGGCAGTGGGCAAGGGGGATACCCTGCTCTGTGTGCATCAATCTCGGCAGGATTAAGGTATAATTGGCAGAACATTGCCACTTAAATCTCATAACCACTTCTGTGATATTCAGCAGTTAACAATGGACAGGAATCCCCCATCTCTGAGCACAGTTTTTTCTCTTATTTTTTATTACAACACATTTTTCTAAATGTGCTGGGGGATTTACTATGTTCTCTTGTCAGACAGCATCCAAGAGCTCATTTGTGACACTATGGATATTTTTGGGTAAAACTGTCCAAGTGCCAGGACATAGTCAATTTGGTATTTTGACTGAAAGGAGACAACATCATATGCAAGCCATCATGTATAATGTGTATTTTTGTATTCCCTGCGTTTGGTTTGCCAAGGCTGTAAAAATAAACTCGCAAAGTGCAGCTCAGGAGGCCCTGGCGCTCCTCTGTAACACTGGCACTCGGGCTCTGTGTGAGGCTTGGTGTTTGCTGAGTGGGCCCTGTTGGGATGGTGTTCACAGGGGTCTGAGGATGAGGGAAGAGACAAGGATTTGACTCCGTGTTTCAGAAGGTTTGATTTATTATTTTATGAAATATATTACATTAAAACTATACTAAAAGAATAGAAGAAAGGATTTTATCAGAAGGCGAGAATAGAATAAGAATAGAATAGGAAGGAATGATAACAAAGGTTTGTGGCTTGGGCTCTCTGTCTGAGCCAGCTGACTGTGATTGGCCATTAATTAGAAACAACCACATGAGACCAATCCCAGATGCACCTGTTGCATTCCACAGCAGCAGATAACCATTGTTTGCATTTTGTTCCTGAGGCCTCTCAGCTTCTCAGGAGGACAAATCCTGAGGAAAGGATTTTTCATAAAAGATGCGTGCGGCACCCTGTTTCACCCTGCTGCCCATGGTTTGGGCTGGGGGCTGGCTGGGGCACCCAGGAGAGGCTCAGGGTGCCCAACAGAGGGTGGCAGCACAGGGATGGGGCAGTGGGATGGGGCAGTCAGCTGGAGGAGCTGCTGAGGTTTGAGCACAGCCCTGCTGCCCACAAGGTTTTTCTTTTCCCCTCGCAGTGACAGCTGTACATAGCTGTACGTGTACATTGCCAGGAGAAACTGTGCTGAAGTGGCCAAAAGGAGAGGAGGAAAATCTCTCAGGGTCAAGGGGGGACAAAGTCATGTAGCATTGCAGCCTCTCTGCTCAAGGGACAGGGCTGATGAGAGCAGAGCATCTGTTGGTGTAAAATGCCCTGTGCTGAAGAGATGGGATGATTTTCCAAAATAGCAGAACCTGGGGTGAGGACTGGGTTAAAGACACATTCTTCTCTCTTAAAGACTGCTCACAAGTTTGCACACTAAATACTGTTTTAAGCACAACTCAACTTGTAAAAAAACTGTAAAGAGAAGTTTTACTATTTGTACCTTTTGGAGGGAGCATGCTTATATATAAGTTCAGATCAGTTTTTCCTCTCTGTTGCAGAGATTACAGAAATAATTGTCCTCTCTTTCACTCACAAGACTCTTTTCTTATGAGTTTTAGGAGTTGGGCATTTGAAGGGATTCCTTCCTTAAATTAGATATTTCCACTTCCCTTTATTTATTTGAGATTTTTACACCATTGTATTCCTCAATGAGCCTTCACCAAGACAACAAGACTGATGAGGGACAAAGTTTTGTGTTGATACAGGTGGATGGGTGGTCTTAATTAAAAAGAAATACTCACAAGCAACTTTTCAAATCAATATTGGTTTTGCCAGCCATAAATTTGCATTCAGTATCCCTTGAGAGTTCATTTGACCCCAGATCTGCAGCTGAAGAGTGAATTAGTGGCCACAATCATACTGCTTATGCTCTCTATGACTGATCACATAAGTCTGCCCCCACCTCCTAGGTTTAATTATCTTTAATTTTGATTTATGCCATTATTTGCATAGATGGTACCACAGATCAGCTCCTCCTAGGGAACAGCAGCCTGTAAACATAGACAGAGAGGCTTTGGTCAGCTATCAGTGGCAACATTGATGAAACTCCCATTGATTTGGTAGCCTGCTGAAAAGCTCATAAAGCAGGAAAATAAATTGTTCATTAAACTGGGCAGGCCGTAGCTGCCAGGATGTGGGTGCCTGCCGTATGTTGAGTTTGCTTCAGCTGCATGGTGTCTCCAGCAAATCCTGTTGTCATCCTGCAGGAGACCTTGTTAACATCTTCCCTTTCCTTTCCCGCACAGATGATGCCAGCTCAGGAAAGGACAGCCAGGTGCCCGAAGGCTCCAATGGAGAATATGAAGACCATTCTGGGAAGCAGTGGGGTAAGGAGCAGTGTGTGTTTTGTGGTTTTCCTGGGCCCTTGGTTCAGTGCTGTTCCTGTGGCACATTTCTCAGCGGCTGAAGGAGAGGAAAGGCAGAGCAACTGGAGGGAGTTCTCCCTACATATGGTCAAATAATAAACAGAGTGTCAGCTGAACGTGTTGGTGTGAATGGATCCCATCCAAGGGTCCTGCAAAATGCAGCCTGTGGTTGGCCCTAGGGCCCCCTGCCATTTACCCCAGCATGGTTCTCCCCTGTATTTGTTTTTCTGGGCAGAGACTTTTCTTTTGCATGTGCAGCTTTTACAGCTTTCATAGACTCCCTATAAAAAGCGTATTGACTTTTACAGCAGTATTTCCAAAAGTCTCCAGTGCCAGAATAACACTGCTCCCACTGAGGGCAAAGGGGAGGTCTGACTTCACTTCAGGAGAATTAGCACTAAGCCAAGATGAGCATTTGTTAAGATCACCCTCTCTTTCAGGCACCTGCCTGAGCTTCTCCAGGCCATGGACTGTTCAGGCATAAGACTTTGGAGCTGTTGGAGCTTTGGGGAACTGCTAAAACTCACTCAGAGCAGGCTCTGAATCACTGCAGACCTTGCAGGCCCAGTTTGGTCCAAGCACTCCTTGAAGGACAATAAGTTGTCAGGCTGATGCCAAACAGCTTTTGGCCATTCCTGACAGGAGTGTGATGTGAGTTTATGAGCTCAGTGGACGAAGCACAGCATTTCATTTTGCTCGTGCAGTGCATCCCTCTCTTTATTTTTATAATACAGAGATGGCTTTGTAGCACGTTTGTGACCAGGGAGAGCCTCACAGCAGTGGTAGGGGTGGAACCTGACAGGCTTTTGCTGTGTGAATCCCCACCACTGAAGCTGAGGCCAGTTTTCTTCAGCAGCTGGCAAACAGGATGTGTGGTGTGCTGTGGTGCAGTCCAGGCTACACTTGAATTTATTTATCTCATGCTGAGCTTGCATGGGGAGAGCAAGGTAACCTCCACTCATTCTGGAGAGGGATGACAACATTTCAGAGCTGGAGGAAGGGTGTCTTAGATAAACTGCAGGTCAGGAGTACTTCAGGAGGGGTTCATCAGCTGCCATCTCTCCACTTTTCTTTGCCATTGTGCTTCTGTTAGAGCTGCTGGATGATAGATCAATACAACAATAGAAGAAAATTATTGTGAAGAAAAGATGTAAGCCCTACTAAAATTATTAGGCATTGACAATCTTGTATCAGACTCTGTCTTACTCTCTGCTGCCCTGGCCCAGTCTGTTGTGCTGCAGAGTGTTGCTGAACCTCTGCTTTTTCTTCTTTTCATCCTTCCTGTCTCCTCTCCTCTCCCCAAGCAGAGAAATGCCTGGGGCCAGCCATGCACCCACCTAAACCCTTTCCATCCAGCACTGCTCACCAGGGAATGGCTGGTGTGAGCTGGTGTGCAGGGAGGGTCAGGATGGTGGGTGAAGGTGTTGGTGTTGTCACAGTCCTGGGCCCTTGGAGAAGTGTGAGAGGAGAAGCATGGTGGAAAAAAACTCCACTTTCCTTTCCATCTACCATCATAGAGTGGTATCTCTGGGAAGAGCAGGGGACTGATGTGGGGAAAGACAGAGACCTCCATCCATGTCTTCCCACAAGTGACTGAGCTCTTAACCAGAAGGCCTGAAATACATTTCAAGCCATAATAATATTGTGACTTTTTTTTTTGTAATTATCATGAAAGCTGAAGTGATAGTGACTGTCACTACATGGGGGTAATGGTGGTGCACCACAGCAGACAACATTTTCAGATAATCACGTCACTTTGTGTGAGCAATGTCTGACAGGAGCCTCAGGGACTGATCCATGCCTCTCAAGGTGTCCCACTGAATTCCTTCACAGGTCTTTGTGCTGCATTTAATTTTCATTAGCTTTGAATAAATCTTCATGGTAAACAGCATTTCAGCCAGGAACCCATACACAACACTGTCTCTTTGTCCCCATCCACTTGTGTTTTCCCTTGCTCTTGAGTGGGACATAATTTATACTGTACAAATGTGTGGTTCATGTTTATGAAGCAAATGCCAAGTGATGTGGAGGAGAACAAGCATGTGAATAACACAGAGGCACTTTGTAATTGCCTTTGCTGGCACTCCAACAAGCAAAACTTCTGTAAATGGAACAGATTTGGGGACAGACATTTAGCATCAACTCAAAAGAGATCTTTTCTTCCTGTCTCTCACAGTGCTGCTTCTCCTCTTTCTCCTTTGTGCTTGCTGGGTCTCTTTTTCTCTCTAATGTGTATGTCTCTCTCTCTTTCTCCTTTTTTTGTTAACTGGCTTTTCTAAACTTGTCCAATTCAGGCTTTTGTCAAGGAAACATTCAGGACTGTGTAAATGGGATCTGGTTTCAGCATATTGCACGCAGCCTGGAGTAGCTTTTGAGACCACATAATCACTTAACCTTTTTAAACAGAAAGAGAAAGAAAGAAAGGCTGAAAGGTCCAAAAAATTGTAGCTTTACCTGTAGTTTAGTATGTATTTGTGCAACCATGTGCAGGGAGTGAATGCAGAACTCCAGACAGGCTCATGGGAGTCACAGTGGGAAGAAAACCACAAATGTTAAAGACCCGCTTTTTTGGGTGGAAAGGCTTTCTGTCTTAAAATGCCCTTACTGAGCAGGGGTGCCAGCAAGTCCTGCTGAGACTTCAGAGTCACTCACTTGACTTTTGAATCTGCTGGGGGAGTGTGAGTGTCCTGGCTCCAGTTTGCTCTTTGGTATGTTAGTCCCTGCTCAGGAATCCCATCCATGAGGATCCCCTCTGCTTAGACCTGGTCTCAGAGTAAATTACTGCCCTATTACAGAGTAGCCGTTCAGACCCATTGCATGGCTGATTCCTGACCCCTCCATGAGCCTTGCAGACATTTTCTCAATTTCCACAGTGACAGCCCTTATCAGCACGTCTCCCCTGGCTCAGACTAACATTTGGGATGTCGTTGGCCGCAGTGTGCAGCTCTGGCAGGGCTCATTGTCAGGGAGGGGGATTGTGTCTGCTGTGAGGGGCCTCCTGCAGCAAAGACCCCAAAGAGCCCAGCAATTCAGGACCTGTGGAGGGGGTTAGTATGTCACACTTGCTGCTCAGCTGTCACGGCAAAGACTTCCAGTGCCGGAGTTACTCCGGTTCATTGGATTACACATGAAAGCCTCTGCTTGGAGAGCAAAGCATTTCTGAGCAGGAGTTTGAAATAACATGAAATGGCTGGGACCCAGAATGACAGCCAAGGGGGGCAAGGGAAGGCTGTGGAGACAGATGGTTCCCCCTGTGGAAAAGGGGTATGCCAGAGGGTGTCCTCTTCCAGAGGGAGGGATGTTGGCCAAGGCTGCAGGGGGGTGAGGGCTAAGGGATGTGCTCACAGACTCAGAGGGCAATGGATGCCATTCCCCAGAGCTTGGAGATGGGAAACTGCAGACCAGCCTCTTCCATTCAGGAAAGCTCCACTGTAACGCACATCCCAGAGCTTCTGGCCCTCAGCCCTGGGCAGCAGGGCTGGCTGTCAAGTAGGAAGTTCCGCTTGGCCATCCTGTAGCTGGCCAGGGAATCCCTACAAGTGCTTAAAAAGCGTGTAGATGTGCTGCTTAGGGACGTGGTTTAGTGATGGACCTGGCAGTGTTAGATTGAGGGTTGAACTCAATAACCTTAAGAGGTCTTTACCGACTTCAGCAGTTCTGTGATGGGCTTAGTTAGAAGTGCCCCTGGACTGGCATAGCTAAAGTAACTGTAAGAAATTTGTTATTTCTTTTAAATTCTTCATTAAATTTCAGATTATGCAAGATGAGGGCCTTGCATTTCTCTAAGTTTCTTGTCTACACTCTTAGAAATACTGTTGATTTCTTTGCTAAGACAAGATGACCCACGCTTCTATCCACCAGCTGCTATTGCTTCAGATTCTCCAGTTTTGGGATGGGCTGGCATGGGGTATCCTCTATTAACAAGCTCATAAAGTTTTATTGGGTCTTTGTTCACTTCTGTGGACCATTCAACATGAATGTTTTGTAAATTGGAGCTGAATGAATTGCGCACATTTAAGTTCAGACCAATGTACAAAAGTCTGTCACACTTCTAAGACTTTCCTATGCACGTAAAAGATGCTGACTCTTCTTAAGTCCCTTTAAAACCACTGAGAACTAAGAGGCAAAACATCTTCAGGAAATGAAGCTTCATGTGACAAGCAAAAAATTGAGAAAATGGTCAGCGTGACAGGAATCTTGAGTTTTTCCTTTGGTCTTGGCCAAGGAGTTTGTGGAATATGGGAACAATTACAGTGCGATTATGGGGCCGCATTTTGCCTTCAGCTGCAATAGCGTGATTTTGGTATTACTTTGTGAGATGGTCTGGTGCAATTGCCTTACAGACACAGAAATTCAGGGACTGTGCTATGCAGAAGGTTAATGCAGTGGCCAGAGCAGCCCCATAGACATTCAAGTGCATTGGGTGGGTTGTGAATCCCTCCTAAGGAAAACAGTTTGAGCTGATACGAGGGAGAGCACACACTGGCTAGTATGGGGCTGCCTCACAAGCAAATTTCACTATAAGACATAACAAGTTTCCTTGTCTGCTCGTGCCCTGTGCTCACCTCAGTCCGTTGTGATGCCTTTGCAGCCCGGCCCAGGTTCACGCAGCCCGCCAAGATGCGGCGCAGGGTGATCGCCCGCCCCGTCGGCAGCTCCATCCGCCTCAAGTGCGTGGCCAGCGGCAACCCCAGGCCCGACATCACCTGGCTGAAGGACAACAAGCCCCTCACTGCCCAGGAGATTGGGGAGAACAAGAAGAAGAAGTGGACGTTGAACCTGAAGAACCTGAAGCCGGAGGACAGCGGGAAGTACACCTGCAGGGTGTTTAACAAAGTCGGGGAAATCAACGCGACGTACAAAGTCGAAGTGATCCGTAAGTGCGGCCCTGGGAGGGAGAGCAGAGAGGGGCTTTGAGAAAGGGGCTGGCTCGGCCAAGACAGTGTGGGGTGGCAAGGGAGCAGAGCCTGGTCCGTGCTCTGACGCCTCCTTGCAGATACTGATGTCTGGACATATGTTGGGAAGTGCTAAAAACATTAGAAAAAACACTGCTGGAACTCTAGAATGAACTTGAAACCTGGGCAAGACAGAGTAGCAAGAAGACAATTGAGGAGATGAAATGAGGAGAGGTACTTGGGAAACAGTCATCTCCACAGGCACCTGCATGGTGAAAGTCATGCCCAGGTCAGTCTTCCACAGGAGAATCAGTTAAAGGACAGACAGAGAACTAACAGAGAAAGTCCTTTCAAGTACCATGGCTGAGGGAGGGAAATATGTAGGATAGCCCAGATTAGTATGTCAGAATGGGGGAAACTAGTCAATTTTAAATTTAATTGAGAAGTTTCCCAAAGGAAACTTGAAAAACAAGAAATCTTATGGTTAGAGTGACTATCCAGACAAGGCTTTTGGGCCAGATTATAAAAAAGGTTTGGCCATCTGAAGGTCCAGGCAGGTAGAAATTAATTACTAAAAAAAAACCCCAAACCTTAAAAACATCCACTAGGATCCTGTCTGTATCTTTAGATGCCTACATAGCTTTAAAGATTCAATCCTCAGAAGATGAGCTGTGGGGGATTACCCTGCATTGTGGTGAGGTAAATTGCTCTTCTTACTATCTAGCTATTCTGAGTCTGGTTCTCTAATCTTCTGTTTCCCCTATTATTGCTGAGGATAATTATACTCAAATCCTTCCTAAGTTTGCCAGAGAAGAGCTCTTATTCTTAAATCATTGTGCTTTGCCTATGACATCATCATAAGTTGTCATGGAAATGATTGCAGAGTAGCCAAGTCAAGAAAGAGAAGATGAGCTGAGTGAAGATTGAATAGCCTTCATTAATGAGGAGCAGGGGCATGGAGGGCTGCTTCCAGCCACTTGGAAATCATGTTGTTTGTCTGTGCATACAATTTAGCATGAGAAAGTTTATCCCAGTGTGAAAGATTGTTCTTAAAGGTAAAGATCTGTTCTCTGATAAGTCCTTTCCCTAGAATCGCAGGAATTAAAAGCACATGTGGGAAGCTCTGTTGGGCTCTGAAGGCACAAACCTGCTGGACATCTGGGATTGATAAAGATGCAGCTGTGTGGAGACAGTAAAAACATGTGTTTACACTAAAACCAGGAGCAGAGGCAGGGAAATGAATCAAGCCCCATCCTAATGGCAGCTGTGGCATTTTCACTTCATCAAAACCAGACAGCACCAGGAACAAACCCCTTTCTGTGTCCCTGTTTATCTTGGTTTTTATCAACTTAAAGATGTATGTAACCTTTGTTTTCATTAGCTTTTGCTGGCTAGGAGTGAAAACAGTAACCAAAGCTGGAACCAGAGTCAAGGAGATAAGGGCATTAAGCAGTTTTCAGACATCTTTCTATTTTTAACATCGTTCTGTGGAGCATTACAGGTTTTATTCAATTTCCTCCTTTTTTTCCCCTCCCCTGAGCCTCCACTCCTAAGTCCTGCTTATCTGGGTCTCAGTCTCCCCAGCTGTGATTGTTGCTCACAGCCCAAAGGCAAAGCCTACAGAGACTGCTGTGGTATTTTTGTTTCCTAAGCACATCTTTAGAGCCCTCAATATTGAAAGTATCCCGAGTTTTTGAAAGAGGGTCCATTGTTCCTTCCTTTCACTCCAAAGCCAGTGCTGGTGGGAGCTGTTTTGTTGCATGCTCAATCCAACAGTGTTTGCCATCAAAAGGAGTTGATGATTGCCAGCAGTTACCACCCACTGTGATACCATGATTTCTCCTGTGCCTAGGACAGAGGTTTGCATTACCTCCTTGTCTGGAAACTGTGACTGATTTATCTGATCCTAACACTAAAAAAGGTCCAAACATTCCTCAGAAGGAGGCGTACATTTTTCCTTTCACTTTATGTGGTGTTGACACAACCTTAGACTTACGATCCTGCTGGAAAGGATGGTCTTGTGAAGCTCTTCCAAAATATGAGGGCTCAGAGGGAAACCATCCTTTTCTCCAGGTCTGGTGCAGGTAGAAAATCAACGTCCTTGTTATAAACAGGAAGATTCAGGTCGAGCATGCAAACACACTTGCTAAAGCCTCAGACAATGGAGGAGTTGTTTGGAGAGCATCTACCATTGGAGGCTTTGGCAAGAGGCTGGCAGGAGAAGTTTGCAGAAATCTCAGCCTGCCTTGGGGCAGGCAGCTGGACTAGACTGTGATTTTGCATCCCTGCCACACCTTTCCCCTCCGTTTCCACAATGCAAGTGACGGAGGCTGGCAAACCCCTTTGCCCACGGAGCTCCCTGTGTTTGTGTGCAGAGAGGACGAGGTCCAAGCCCATCCTGACGGGGACCCACCCCGTGAACACCACGGTGGACTACGGCGGCACCACGTCCTTCCAGTGCAAGGTGCGCAGCGACGTCAAGCCCGTCATCCAGTGGCTGAAGCGGGTGGAGTACGGCACGGAGAGCAAGTACAACTCCACCATCGACGTCGGGGGGCAGAAATTCGTCGTGCTGCCCACGGGCGAGGTCTGGTCCCGCCCCGACGGCTCCTACCTGAACAAACTGATGATCACTCGAGCCAAGGAGGAGGATGCGGGGATGTACATCTGCCTCGGGGCAAACACCATGGGCTACAGCTTCCGGAGTGCTTTTCTCACTGTCCTGCCTGGTGAGTTGTGATGCTTTTCCCACCTCTGTTATCAGTCTTCTGTGTCATGGGGTGGCAATGTTCCTCACTCGGGGTCATCAAATGGCGGTCACAGGGGTCCCAGGACGAGGGAAGAGACGAGAATCTTGACTCCATGTTCCAGACGGCTGACTTATTTTATGATATATATTATATTAAAAGAAAATTATATAGTAAAACTATGCTAAAAGAAAGGATTTCATCAGAAGGCTAGCAAGGAATAGAAAGGAATGATAATAAAATCTTGTGACTGACCAGGGAGTCTGAGACAGCTGGACTGTGATTGGCCATTAATTAAAACCAACCACATGAGACCAATCAAAGATGCACCTGTTGCATTCCACAGCAGCAGATAATCATTGTTTGCATTTTGTTTCTGAGGCCTCTCAGTTTCTCAGGAGAAAAGATCCTAATGAAAGGATTTTCCATAAAACATGTCTGTGACATCATGGTATTTATTCATTCAGCTGCTGTTGCCCATTGCCTCCCTGGCCCTCTCTGATGCTGTGCTGATTTAGGCCACCCCAGTTCTGATAAGAATGAATGGAGGATTAAATCAGCCCTGATTTAAGTCAGTCCCTGCTGAAATCCTGTTGATGGTATTTCCTTTCCTCCCTTTGTGGGGAATGACCACAGGATCACAGAATGGGTCAGGTTGGAAGGAACCACTGTTGGTCATCTGGTCCAACTTCCCTGCTCAAGCAGGGTCAGTCCAGAGCATGTGGCACAGGATTGTGTCAGGATGGTTCTGGAATATCTCCAGTGAGGGAGACTCCACACACACTCTGGGCAATCTGTTCGGTGCTCGGTCACTGCACAGTAAAGGAGTTCTTCCTCATGTTCAGGTGGAATTTCCTGGGCATCAGCTTCTGCCCTTTCTTTGTGTCCTATTGCTCAGCATCATGGAGCAGAGCCTGGTCCATGCTCTGACACCTCCTTGCAGATGCTTACAGACATTGTTGAGGCCCCTCTCAGTCATCCAGGTGACACAAATTGAATTATCTACTCCTGTATGACAGAGGAGCAAGCTGGGGAAAGTTACTGCAGTTGCAGACACTAAATCACTAAATCACTGCGGGATGAGAGAGGGGAACTGAATAACAGCACAGTTTGCAACCTCATTCCCTAAAATTCCTCCTTTCTCTTGCCCTTATTTATATTGCTTTTACTGGTAAAAGGAAACAATGATACAGGCCCATAAAATGAGGGAAGAATAAAAACTGTCTGGTTCACAAAGAAATGAAATGAATGACTGTGAAAAACAGAATGATTGATTAGTTAAATTTTTATCCAATGGTCCCCTGGGGCCCCTGTACCAAACTCAGAGCTGCTGCCTTCCCTGCCCAGGCCTCAGGGCTGGGGGCCACATCCAGCTGAGGCTGCATCGTTTGTGTTTGAGACTCACCATCCCAGCCTGGTCATCTGCTCCTCTGTCTGCTGAATGTGCAGTTCTACCTGATAAACATTTTGGATTTAGGACTATAACTGGAAGGCCTGTAAATACCAAGGAAAAGGCAGCATGGGTGGGATATAACTCAAAGCCTCTGGGAGTTTCTGACCGATGAGAGTCTGATCCAGCTCTCACAGGGGGAGACTTTGCATGGGTTTAAATGGGACTGTAGTGAGGCCTCGTGCCAGAACCAGAGCCTGCAGGGCTGTTGGTATTGGCAGTGATGGAGAAGGAGAACCCAGCTTGCCCCAAGATGCAAAGATGTGGTTGTAAAGCCACGACTTAAAAAAGGCCATTTTGCTTGTAAATCTACCAGATTTGACATTGACAGCTCTGAGGAACATGGATGAATACCAAAACACTTTCCTTTCAGCCCAGCATAGGATTTCTGCCAACCAGCATGAAGATTTCTGTTTTGTGTGGTCAGGTGATAGGTCAGATCTCTGATCTTGTCATGTTTTTAACAGGGGGTTGTGCCAGACCTGCCTTCCAGCCTAAATTATCCTGTAATTTCCAGAGCTGATGAATCAAAATTTCATCTATTAAGGTCAAAGTATAGGTCCTCCTAACTTCAAAGAGACCACATGGTATATATTTAACATTTCAAGCTACCCATAGGATTATTTGTCAAGGAGGGAAAAATACATTAGTGTCTTAAAGAAGTTTAGCTTGAAAGTTGAGTGGTAGATGTTTGAATATAACATATTGAATGATTAAGATAGCCTGTGGTTTTGGAAGTTTTCTGGGTGTCTCCCTGCAGGCTGAATTCTGTGCCTGGGTGTGTTTCAAGGCATTGGATATTCCAGCTGGTAGCTATCTAGACAAGGTAGATAGAATTTTTCACAGATACAGTCCTGTCCCAGGACTCCTTTTGGGTCTATAAATGAGGAGATCAGGCTGAGAAACTGGAGTGGCTGTCCAGGGATAGCCACTGACTGCCAGCTGCAGAGAGATAAATGAGGAGGTAGATGTGAAAGATGATGTCCAAAGTATCTTATCTCCTCCAGCAGCTGAATTTACTGCCCTTGGAAAGCCAGCAGCAGCTCCAAAGAGACTGGTGGAGGTAGAGCCCATTTGGGGTAGGAAGTGGGGCACACTTCAATGCTGAGTGAACTTTCAGTTCTCCATGGCTTGGGAACCAAGGAGGGGCCAGCAGCTCCCCTACATTTTCCCATCCTTCAGCCTTCCTGCCAGCCACAGAGGAAAGTCAGGCAACACCTCCACAACCCCTCATTCATTCTCCCTGCCGTGGTGGAGCACTGCTGGGGGCTCCAGGATTGCCAGACAGCATTTCCAGAGAGCGTCTGGAGCCCTTGCAGGCAGAGCTGCAGCTGGCAGGGGTGGGTGGGCAGCGTGCTGTGGCTCTGTGCAACCTGGGCTGGCCACAGTGAGGTTTTACTGGCATGTCCTGGGTTGTGTCCTTCAGTCTGGGCAGCAAAGCCCATTCTGTCACAGAGTGAGAGCGTTAGGGAACTCTCTCAGGCTGGCTCTAGTGTGCATCCAATAAAGCCTGGATAAGAGAGTTATAAAATCCCCCAAAGACTCCCCTCCTGACCCCAAACCAGAGAAAATGAGTTGCTTGTCCTTCCAGGAGCGCTGAAAAGCAAAGCAGTTACCAACCATCACGCGCTGGCTGATTTCTGCCTCGCTCCCTGCTCTGGCAGAGTTGCAGCCACTCTGTCCAGCAGCCAGCCCCAGTGTGCCGTGCGTTTTGAATCCGCTCCGCCCGCGTTCCATTAACCCTTTCTGTCTCTCCGTGCCCAGATCCCAAGCCTCCCAGCGCACCCGTGCCGCCCTCCTCAGCCAGCAGCCTGCCCTGGCCCGTCATCATCGGCATCCCGGCCGGGGCCGTGTTCATCCTGGGCACCGTGCTGCTGTGGCTGTGCCAGTCCAAGAAGAAGCCGTGCTCCCCGCCTGGCCCGGCCGCGCCCGCGCCCCGCCCGGCGCCCCGCGCCCCGCCCGGCCTGGCCCCGCTCCCCGACAAGGACTGCATCTCCTCCATCAACTACGACGAGTACGTGGCCCAGCAGCAGCACCTGCTGTCCCAGGCGCCCGGCCTGGCGCCGGCCATGGCCCCCAAAATGTACCCAAAGATTTACACGGACATCCACACCCACACGCACTCGCACGTGGAGGGCAAGGTGCACCAGCACCAGCACATCCAGTACCAGTGCTGAGGGCTGGCCCCGCGGCTCCTCTGGGCTTTTCTCCCTCGTGGTACCTCAGCAGAGACTGCTCCAAGCCAGCTCAGCACTGCCAGCAACAGGCAAAGCAGACAGAAAAGGTTATATATGTAATTTTAAATATATATATATACATATATATATAATTGTATATGCGTGTGTGTATGTGTGTATATATATATGTGTATATATCTATATCTATCTATATAAATATATATATAATAGAGAAAGACACAGAGAGAAAAGAGATTTTTTTTTTTTTAATTATTGCAATCAGGATGTAGCCGAGGAATAATGAAGGAACTCCAATTCACAGCAGAGAAGCAGCCGTCTCCAGCAGCAGAGCCTTCCTGGATATTTTAATCAGAGTGGCAACAAGTGAGATGGGACACAGGGATGTGAACCGACACACCTTCCTTGTGTCCCTGAAGGGAGCAGGTAGAGCCAGAGGTGTGTGTGGCATTTCCTGGCTGGGCCTGGATTCCTCCCTGGGCATTGTTCTGGTGGGGAGCCCCCAGACCTCTCCTGCCCTCAGTGACTCCAGCTCCGACACACCTGAGGCTCAGTGCCAAAGCACCAGGAGACATAACCCGTTCATCTCTCCCAGGGAAAGGAAATAACACAAGAGGGTCTGAAAAAACCAATTTCTGCTCACAAGGTGAAATGCCACGTGCTTCTCAGTCGTGGTCAGCACAATCAGCTAACCAAGCTGGTTGGTTCACTTTCTGCAAGGTGAAGGCATCTTGTTTCCCATGGGATGTTCTGCAGATCAGCTCTGCTCCCCTGGTCCTAGGACTCAGTGCCACTGCCAGGAAAAAGGAAAGAAGGAAAAAGGAACTTTGTACAGAACACCTTTATATTTATATTTAAGAAATAATAATAATTAATAATAATAATTGAACTGCTGATGGTGAAGAAAGCAAAACACACTGTCCTTCTGTGATGGCTTAGAGTGACAAGCTACTGGATTTTCTGCGTCAATGCAAAATACGTGAGAGCATTAGAAAAAATAGTAAGAAGCAAAGAGAGTGAAATAATCTTGTAGGAAAAAATTGCATTTGAGAAATATCCACCTAGGTTGTGTGTGGTTGTCCCCTCCCCTCAGATATCACTTTGTAAGTGATAAAGCATTGCAGTTCAAACAACAGGAAAAACAGAAAGAAGAGAAAATAAAAAAGGACCATAATAAATACCTATATGGACTGGGAATGAATCCAATGGCAAAATATAAAACCTTTGTAATTCTATATAGAGTTTAAACAGAAGTCATGTATATTTAATTTATTTTGTTAAACAAGAAAAAAAAATGTATGATATTTTCCTCGAAACAGGCATTTCTATATGTATTTTTGATCAAAGAAAATAAAGATTTTTTTTTTTCAGGTTCTGTAGATGCCATGCTCAGAACACACTTGATGTAGCTTGTGACCAACTGTGCTACTCCTGACCTGGAGGCCACCTGTCTCTGTGCCTTTTCACACCAGCCAGGTGCCATCTGCTGTCCCCTCAGGTGCTGCTGGTGCCATCCCGTCCATCAGAAAATGACCTTTCCCACTGGCTGTGTCCTGGCTGGGGGCTCTGCAGTGCCCAGATCACTCCTCATGGACCCCAGCCATCTTCAGCAGCACAGTTCTTCTCTCACAGGGAAATCTCTTTCGCTGTGCATTTCTGGGGGGTGTGGGGAGGATGATTAATTTGTTTTTTAAGCCCAGGCCTGCAGCGGTTTGTTGGTTTGGGTTTTTTTAAAGAAAATTTTGTAAATCAAAGCATAATAATTTGTGAGGCTGTAAAAGGAACTTTGGCCTCAGGGTGCTTGGAAGGGGAAATCATGAAATGTGGGTGAAACACTTGATTTGTAGCTGCAGCTGCTTTAGGAGCCAGTGGAGGGTGAGCTGGGCGCAGTGAGAGCACAGGAGCTGCTCCCTTCAGTGGGGCTTGAACCTTCCTTGTGCTGCACACCACACAGAGGCACCCAGCTCCTCAGGGGCCAGCATTTCCTTTGGAGAAATGGTTTCAATGATGAAACTATTTCTCTTCTTTTCATTTAGAGTTTGATGGTTAAAAAAAAAAAAAAAAAAAGAAAATTTGAAACATGCTAATTTTTAAGTTCGGAATCACTTCCTTCTCAGGCCTCTTCCATGAAAGAGATCCTCACCAAACCAGCTGCTCCATTTAAAAGTGAAACACTTTATTTAATCTGAAACAAAGCTGTGCTTTAGGCTTTGCTTTTCTCTGAACATTTGTGGAGGTGTTTGCTCTGTGTTGACCCGCAGTGATTTTTTTCTGGTGGTTTGTTTGAATCACCAGCAAACCAAACAGTTCCCTGTTTGCTCAGCCGTGGTGCCGAGATGGGGCCCTGATTCAGTGAAACACGGAATCAGCTCCTGCTTTCTTCACCAATGCATTCTGCTCCAAAAAGAAAGTCCCTTTCTTGCCTTAGGAGGAGGTTATCCATGTAATAACCCCTAGAGGAAGGCCATCCCTCTCTTGCAGAGGTCGTAATAAAGCAGCCCATTGATAACTAGTATTTTTCAGCAGGAGGGTTCAAACAGATTTATGAAATTGCTAAATTTCAGATTAAGGATATCTTTATATGCATCCTCTCAGCTTCAGGGGGAGCTGAGAGGAGTTTAAGTGTGAGCACTGATATAAGGCACGGATATAAGGCATGGTTTGGGCTGGAGTTCTTAATGGCTGAAGTATACTGAGTCATTTAATTTAAAAAATAAATTAAAAAGCCTCTGTACACTAAGGGCATTGCCTTTATTTCAAGGAGACACTAAGTGTATGTTTCCATGAGAGATACTAAAGTCACCATCTCATATCTTGTGCCTGTGGGAAGCTGCTTACTGCACCGTGGTGAGTCCCAAGCTCCTGCACATTCCAGCAGCATGGGGGCATGGCAAAGGGCAGGGTTCCCCTGCAAACCCATGGCCCTTCTCTGCTCTCTGGGCCAGTGTTGTGGCAAGGGGACCCTTCTGGCCATGCCCTGTGAGCAGCACCAGCAGCAGCCTCAGAGCTGGGCGCTGGCTTTGTGGGCTCAGCCCTCGCCAACCCTGAGAGATTTCCTAATGGTGGCAGCTCCAGTGGCAGCTCTGAGCCTCACAGAGGGGTTGGTGGGCTAAGAGAAGCACTCTTGCATTTCCCATGCAGCACAGAATTCCAGGCTGTGTAGCACTCTCCACCTGCCCTTTGTGACCAGCCCTGCAGTGCTGCATCACGCAGGCAAAAACTTCACATTTTGTCAGATGGCTCCAGTGGAAGGAGTGGCTTCCTCCTGCCCTGCAGAGATAAATCTCCAGTGCTGCTGACAGAGCTCTCCAGAGGCAAATGTTGCATTAAACCCCCCTGTGTGGGCAATGCATCAGCCCAGGGCAGCTGCAGCTCTCGGCTGCGGCGCTGGGAATGCAGCTCTGCTTTTGGGTGCACCATGAGAGATGCCGTAAAGGTCTTGATCTGCAGAAAGCCTGGGGATTTCATCCTGCCTTGGCTGTCTGCTCCCTCCTGACCACAGAAATGGTGTGAGATTTCCCCCCAGGGAAATACCCTCACATGCCCTGTTTAGGAGGGACTGTGGTTTTTGTCTGGGCCTTGCACTGTCTTGCTGTGCCTGGGTGGATTTCACATTTTTGAGGAATTATTTTTCCTTCACAAGGTACCTCTAAGACCTTTTCTGAGTCACTCTGTCCCAAGCCCTACTGCATGCCATTGAATTTTAGGGCTTGATTGTGCCTTGCATATGTTGCAAAGTCTTCCATAGTTTAAATAAATTCAACCAGGTCACACTTGTGTATGAATACGTTTTTTATTCAGTGGGAAAAGATTTGGATGCATCTTCATTTTTAAATAGAGGGTGTTCAAAGAAAACCATTGTCTTGTTTCTGGTAACTGACCCTATGTTGAACACAGAAGATTTTTCATTTTATGTATTTGTATGCATAAAGGCATATAGATGTACATGCCAAGTTGTGATACAGAAGGCAATTGTACTTTTAAAACCATGGAGCTTCAAAGATCAAAGGAATTTTAGGCTTAAAACTCACTATCTTTGTTAATTTTATTTGCATTACAGATCAAACATGGCTTTACCTACCAGTTTGTGCATTTTTTAACTTTGTATGGACAATCTTTCTGTGGTCAGCCCCTTTCAAACTGAAAACTTATCAGACATTGAAGATAAAAAGTGTTCTGTGGTTTTCATTTGGTGACAAATACAGTAACTGAACACATCAAAGGAGACAGAATGGCACAGTGTGTCTGTGGCTTTGTAATAAAAGTTGCAGAAAAAAAGGAATAAAAGCCTGGAGTTGTGTTAATGTGTTTTAGAGTTCTGTGTTTTGAAGGGAAGTGTGGCTCTGTGTGGGTGTGTGTGTGTTACACATCAGGAGTTTGTGCTGGCAGGGCAAACAGAATTGTAAAGTTACCTGTGTGCCACAGCTTGGTCTGATATTTTGTGTGGGTTCTGTGAATCAAGCAGAGGCATTATTTTTTTAATGATTTGGGAAAGATTTCTGGGTTTTAGTGAAAAAGGGCAGTTTTTAATCTGTTCACCTCTAGAGCCAAATGCTACAACTGCACTTGGAGCCAAATTTTAATGAGCAGGATGGAATTTTGGAGTACCTGGAGTGGACCAAGGTCAAGCTCAGCTCCACCTCTTTTGAGGCAAACCTGTGAGTGTCTCACTGCTCACTCCAGAGGCAGTACATGTCCAAGCTGTGACATCTGAAGTTCAGAAAAGCTGGCCCTCACCCAAAAGGGCCCTGACCTGGGCCTCTGACCCCAAAATCCCTGTGCAGAAATTGCACACTTAGGGTAGAAAAGAGGAAATATTTCTCTGTTGACTCAATTTCTGTGGTTGCCTGGAACTCTTGAGAGGTTTGGAATATTGGAATAAAGACCTGGGGGAGATGCAGAGGTGAGCAAACCCTGGGAGGTGGTCAGATATTAATGGGGAATTTATCATGGCTTTCCTACCTGGGCAGCACCTCTGCCTACATGAGGAACTTTGAGCATGCCCAGGACTCCAGACTGCTCAAAGCTGGTGATTAACATGGAATCATTGGAAAAGATCCTTGCAATCATGGAATTACTACCCATATAGAGCTTGTTCCAGCTCTTGGAGATGCCAGTGGGAAAAAAATCCTTGCAATGTCCAGAGGGAAATCAGTCAGACACATGGAGCCATTCCCAGGTTTTTACATCTTTTCCCTGGCTTGCCCATTGGAAGAGAAAGATGGGGCAGAAATTAATGGAATTAATTTCCAATTCCCCAGTGTGAAGCCAGACCCACATAAATGGGAAGTGCACACTCTTAGGGAGATGGTTTAGGGGTGATTATGGTGGTGCTGGTTTGACAGTGGGACTGGATGATCTTGAGATTCTCTTCCAACCCTGTAAATGATCCTGTAAATGCAGAGAGCACCAAGACACAGAACCAAACTGCTGAGAAAAATTCAAGACCACCAACCAATTAATATCTTCCAATTACTTATTGCCCTTTAAGTCTTTAAATCTCAAACTAGACATAAGGAAAAAATTATTTTACAATGAGAATGGTGAAACTCCGGAGAGGTGGTGGGTGCCCCATCCCTGGAAACATTAAAGGCCATGTTGGATGGGGCTCTGAGCTGATCTAGTAGAAGATGTCCCTGCCCATTGCAGGAGGTGGGACTAGATGACCTTTAAAGGTCCCTTCCAACCCACTCCATGCTCTGTGATCCAAATGTTCTGGGATGGGTTAGGGTCTGTCATCCAAATGTGCTGGGATATCCACCTGCCAGGTCAGTCCTGCATTCTGGACCTGTCAGAAAATGCTGCTAAGAAGGGAGCTGTAGGCATAGACTTTCTCTTCACCTTATCAGCAGAGCATTTCTTTGCCCAAGATTCTCAGCTTTTAAAAGTTTGCTACAAACGTAAAAAAGCCACGAGCAAATCCCAGCACCAAAAATGTGGATTACTGTAGTTGGAAATAGGAAATAATGGCTGATAAAACCACATTTAAAATACTGGTGTTGTATTGACTGTTAGGTGGCACATATATATTGTCTATTTATGGAGTGGAGTCTGGAGAAAAGAGAATGCCCATTTTACATTTTGTGTGTGTTTACCAGCTTCAGGTCTTTGTGAACAATATATGGAGCTATGACCTTTATTTGTCCTCATTTTAGTTTATGCATTTTTTCTTTCCTTCTTTTTTCTTTTCCTTTCTGTCAGTCTGATGTAATTAGGATTTAACATATCCCCAATATGCATGGACATCAGCAAAGCAATGAATATTCCTTTTTTTCCCATTTTCACTAACCAAATCCAGTCCAAACTGCTCTTTCTATCCAAGCTGATCTATGCTTTAGTGAAAGGAGTAATAAATAACATTTTAGACCAGACTTCAAAATGCCTTTTTCCTTTGATCTGAGTAATTAAAGTCAAGCTGCTGTTCCCGAGCGTTTTCTGATGGAATTACACGAGTTACACAGCTCTTCATTTGTATCTTATTAAGCATTGTGTGTTACTGATGCTGTCCAAACAATTAGCACCTAAATATGCCCCATATTCTCATAAAGAGGCAGTGGCAGTGTTAATGTTAATGCCCTGGTTAACAGTTTGCTCCCATCCCGAGTCCACCATGGTGCTTTAATGCCATTTAATATCAATCAGGACTTTACTGATGCCCCTCTGAAGTTGTTCTCTTCTGCAATCCTTTAACTGTGCAGCAAACTGAGAAGAAGTTGAGCAACAACATTAAGTAAAAATGGCATCTCTCTTAAGGCAGGATTTTTCCTAAGTTCACTGCAAGTTTTGGTTATGAGAAGGCGAGCGCTTCGCGGCGATCGGTCATTCTGACGTTTTTATGGTGTTTTTATTACCCCTGGCTCGTTTCCATGCTAAA